CCTAAACTCCCTTGCTCCTTACTTCTACAAACTATATCCCATCTCACCAAATGATCTTTCTTTCACTAGGCTCCCATGAGAAGTCCCTCATAATCTTCTCTACTTTCATTACCTCCCTTTGTGGCATTTTGAATACTGAGAAAAAGAACACTAGAAGGTTAGCTAAAGCAGATTTAATCAGAGTGATATGACCCCCTAGAGACACATAATTCCTCTTCCAAGATGACAATTTCTTAGTGCATCTTTTAAGAATTGGACTCCAAAAGCTTCCTTCCCAAGGGTTGGCTCCTAAGGGCATACCTAGATATTTCAAAGGCCACCCAGTGATAGGACAACCTAAGGCTTCTGCTACCCCAGTCATCTCCTTCTCTACCAAGTTCAGTCCCACTATGCAACTCTTTTCAAAGTTAATCTTCAACTTAGAGACAAATCCAAACAGTTTGATCACCTGCTTCAAATTACTTGCCCTTTGAGGATCAACACTTTCACAAAATATAATTGTATCATTAGAAAATTGCAAGTGTGTGACAATTGTGCTCTCTCTCCCAACCCTCCAACCTTTAACCAATCCTAAGTAATCAGCTCTTACAATAAGACTACTGAACACCTCAGCTACCAAGGTAAATAGGAAAGGAGAAAGGGGACCCCCTTGCCTCAGACCTCTTGTTACTAGGAAAAAGTCTCTAACCACTCCATTAACAAGGACTGAATAGTGACAAGTCTTCAAGCAACCCTCGATCCAACCACACCATCTCTCCCCAAACCCAAAATTTTTCAAAGTGTCCAAGAGGAAAGACCAGTCAACCATATCATAAGCTTTCTCCAAGTCCAATTTACACACAAAACCTTTCTTTTCTCTTTTCTTAAAATCCTCTATGCATTCATTAGCTATCAAAACTTGGTCTGTGATCTCTCTACCTTGAATGAACGCGCCTTGGGAGTGGCTTATTAAACCAGGAAGGACTTGCTTTAATCTTAAAGACAACACTTTGGCCAAGATTTTATAGATGCTTGTTACCAGGCTGATTGGTCTGAAATCTCTCGGCTGATTGGCTCCTCCCTTCTTAGGAATCAAGGCTAAGAAAGTTGAATTTATTCCCAGACTAATAAAGTGTTCCCTAGCGAACTCCTCAAAAATAGCCAAAAGGTTCACTTTAATTATCTCCCAACATTCCTGATAAAAGGCCATAGTGAAACCATCCGGTCCTGGAGCTTTAGATCTGTTCATTGAAAATACAGCTCCCCTTATCTCCTCCAAGTCAAAATCCCTTTCCAACACTACACTAAATACCATGTTTCTCTCTCTAACCTTTCACATCTCTTTGTTTTGAAGGTAAATAAAAATGAAAAATTTATTAAGAGAAAAAGAACAAAGAAAGGTGATAAGAAATCATCCAAGAGAGAATACATCCCAATTACAACAACCCTCCCTGAACCAACTCCCATAGATTCCCCCTTCATTATCACAAAACATGGCCCTCCATCCAAATTACCCCTACAAAAAACCCACCACAGAAATTAAAACAAAACTCACAAATCACACATCAAATAGACACCCAAAAGAACAAATACATTTTTTTTGATAATTCCCAAAAGAACAAATGCATTAGAAAATCCCAAAAAGGTATCCATCCACACCCAAGCCCAAACTGTCATTCTTGCATTATGTCAAGTCTATAGATCCTTGAATTGTGTTTTCCTTTCTTCTTCTATGTGGCCTTTTAGATTTTTTTTCACGACCTTGTTGGGACCTAGTATAAAGACAGCAAAAGCTTAGAGCCTGTTAGTTTCACTCATAGTTGTCAACGCCTAGGCGACTAGGCTCTTTTCAAAGAGCGCCTCGCCCAAACGCCATATGTTTTGCGCACTAGGCTCTCGCCAAGAGACTTAAGCGGGCGCCTACATACAAGGCGGGCACCTACATGCATCTAAAAAAATTATTTTTTTTTTAAATTTATTTATTTGATATTTCATTGGTTGTTGTATTCTTTTAAAATAAACCTGTTGCATTGTATCATCTTAGTATTAAGAGAACTATACATCGTATCATTTTAGTATCTCTATTTTCTTTTCTAAACCCTTGTATCACAAGGGTTTTGGTTCGATTGGAGAGGGAGGAGAACCAAACAGGCGAACACTGCAAGCTCGAGCAGCCCAGCTCCATTGCACCTTAGTTCATAACTTCAGTTCCTCTTCTTCTTCTCCTTCTTTCTCTTCTCAGATTTCAGTCGAAAAAACAGGGGCTCCGCCCCTATACTCCTCAGTCCTCCCTTTCTCCACTTCTTCTTCTTCTTCTTCTTCTTCTTCTTCTTCTTCTTCTTCTTCTTCTTCTTCTTCTTCCACCCCATGAGCCCAACTGCTCTCAGTCAGTCACTCTCACTCTCTCAGTCGTCAGTCCGCCCCTTCTCACTAGAGCTAACCTAGAGAGAAGGGGCATTCAGATTTTGGACCTGTCTTGCAGTCTGTGTGGGAGTAGTGCTGAATCCACTGACAATTTGTGTATCCACTGTCCATTTTCTGCTCAGCTGTGGAGCCATTTCCTCAGCTCTATGAGCTTAAATTGGGTTATGCCGAGGTTGGTTAAGGAGCTGTTGTGTTGCTGGAAGCTTATGGGTCTGAGCAAGAAAAAGAAGACTGTTTGGAAGACGATTCCAATTGCTGTGTTGTGGTCCATCTGGTCTGAGAGGAATAGAAGGATTTTCTGTAGCAAGGCTTTAAGTCCGGAAGAGCTAATTCAGAAAACAGTGGGCAAACTGATGTCTTGGGTGTCTGTGTCTGAGGATTTCAGAAATTGTAATGTGCCTGCTGTTTTTCTTTCTAGTTCCTGGTGGAATGTGTAATTGCTGATTTGATCAGTCAGCCTTTTCTGGGACTGATCTCAGCCTCCTGTGTGTAATTTCTTCTCAATAAATATTACTTTGCCTTTTCCAAAAAAAAAAAAAAAACAGGGTCTCCGCCCTACCAATCAGTATTTCAGTCAAGATTCACACTTGAATCATCTCAGTTTTTAACAGCCTAAGCTGCCGAACCTACTCTTCTCTTCTTCAATTCTTCTCTAATCTCTTCTTTAATTCTTCTTCTCATTCAATTTTTTTTTATATCATTAATATATATGATTATATGGCTGATTTTTTTTTTCTTTATATGGATGAACTACATGGCTGAAACTTGATTCAGTGATTGTATGGCTGAATTGGATTCTCTTCTTTAATTTTTTTTTTTTTTTTTATGGCTGAATTAAATGTCTGAAACTTGATTCATTGATTAATTGATTATATATATGATATATATATCTAGTTGGTTTAGACTCCTTTTTATTGATAATATTTTATATTTTTAGCTTTTTATATGAAATTTATACTCATTTTAATGATTTATAATGTTAATAGTTAGTGTACATGATTGCTAGTTAGCACACAAAACCAATAAAATGATTTAGAAAAGCATATGTAAAGTAAAAACTCAATAAAACAAACATTTTAAAATTCCAATGCCTAGGCGCCTGGGCGCCCTGTGGTCGCCTAGCCTAGGCGCCTTGAAAACTATGGTTTCACTCTCAGTCTCTCATACCTGAAGCAGCAAGTGCAAGAACCAAACAGGGCCTACACCCCATTTTTATGCTTTGTTTCACTCTCAGTTACCATTCTACCCTTATTCTTCTTCTTTTCCTCTTCATTTCATGCTTTATTTTCTTTGTTTTCTTGGTTTAAAACAGGGACTACACCTCATTTGTTCCTCTTCTTTTTTTTTTCTGTCTTTTCCCCAAATATTTTGAATTGTTTATTGGACTGAAACAGGGGCTCTGCCTCCATTTTTTCTTTGATTTTAGTATTTTTCTCCTACTTTTGTTGGTCTAAAATAGGGGTTCCAGCTTCCTGTTCTTCTTGGTCTAAGGCTATGGCTCTCCTCTTTCTTCTTATTAAGGGTGCTGCTGATGGTCTTCTATGCACATGACCTAACCATCTTACTATACTTTCTCTCATTTTATCATCTATTGGAGCTACTCCTAGAATGATTTCATTTCTTATCCTATCCTTTCTAATTTTTCCACTCATCCATCTCAGCAACGGCAATACACATTTGTGAATCACTTAGTTTTTGGACATGCTTTTTCTTGACTGCCCAACATTCTGCTCCATACAGCACAACTGGGCAGTCTGGCCTTACAATTGTTTTATAGAATTCTCCCTTTAATCTAAGTGTTACTAACCTATCACATAAAACTCTTGATGCACCCTTTCGTTTTGCCCATCCTGCTCTAGTTCTATGTGCGACATCCTCCTCAGTCTCTCCCTTGTTATGAATTATTGATCCAAGGTATCAGAAAAGGTCACATTGAGTTATCTCTTGATCTCCAGTCCCAACTGTACTCTGATTTACACTCCTATCCTAAGGTCACATTGTAGGGAAAGGCATGATACAACTAAAATTCAGTTTATATGTTAATGACTTTTAGATATATGAGATAAAGCAATATGTTCCAAACCCAATTGCATATAATTACATTACTTTATCTTCCTTTGGACTGGCTAGCAGGTTATCCATGGCTCTTGGGTGATGATATTATAGGATGCAGATTTAAGCATCTATAACTGGTTGGAGTCTGCCAAACTCAAGTTTATACTCCAAAATAATGACAAGTACTCATGCCAAAGGTTCATAATTCTGTGTCAAAATACATCCACAAAAGAAGGCAGTTAAGTTACCTAGGGTGAAATTTATGTAAAAATGCAATTTGGCTATCATATGGTCATGTAATAGTACACAGTTACATATCTCCAAAAAGCAAAACATATGAGGAAAATAACATAAAAGTTGCTGTTCATCATTACTAATATCAAGTTGAAAAAGGAAATTTCCAGAATTTGTAGATAGAAGAAATAAGTCAATATTATAAAATTAGTTATCCCTTGATCAAATATCTTTTTCCAATTTTGATATCATAATGAAGACCAAGTAGACATATCCTAGTCAAAAAAGGAAGAAAACACTACAATTACCTCTTTTACTTGATTCCATTCTGGCATCTTCATAAAATATCCTTTGCAGTTCTAGCATTATCTCTTCACATTCACCTTCAGTTGATTGACAAACCATGGGATCATATTCCCATAAAGTATCATTGTCTTCAAAGTTGGAAGGTGTGATCTCTGATCTGCCATTGTTCATGGGAGAGTCCTTGAACCTTTTAAGTTCATCAGAAACTATGTCCCGGAAAGCAGATTCCATAATCTCCTTTGTCCAAGATACAGAAATAGATGAATCAATAAATAATTATATAAATAAATAACTATTAGGATCTGACCAAATGGACAAGAGATTATAGGCATTCAAAAGGAAAATGATTCCCAATAATACAAAGAAGGAAAAGTTGTGCAAAAATAAAAGTTTGAAGAAAAAAGACCTCAAATCCACAGAAACGAATGCCAAGATATAAAAAAAGTTGAAAAAAAAGAACATAGGGAAAATGCAAACAGCATTAACATGAATTGCAAAGACCAAATAATCCAAACAAATGTTGCTTGCTTAGAAATTATTCAACTAAGAATAACTAGCTGGCTTAACTAAAAAACAAAGAAATCAATGACTGTTAGTAAAATAACACAAAAACATGAACCCGGTCCCACCATGCTGCTCAATGAAAAGCCTTTTAGTTAAGAAACAAAGAATCGATATATGCCACTTAATAGACATCAGCAAATTCTGATGACTTAAGGCATAACAACTTTTCCAAAATAGATTTCTTAAAAGATAAGCTGAAACAAAAAGTTAGACAAGTACCTTCTGATTCAGGGATGGGTCTACAGTTGATCTCATTTTCCAAAGCAGGCGAATTCTATCCTTTTCGACCCTTTTGATACAATTCTCTAGAAGCTGCATTGAATGAGTATAGCGAAGCAAATGAGTGTGTTGTCTGAAGGAACGAAAACCAAGCATATATGAAGAAAAAAAATAAAAAAGACTATAGACGTCGAATCCAAACAATAACCACAGAAAAAATCAACGCAAAAAGAAAAAAAAAGCAATTGCTTACCCACCAAATAAAAAATAAACCCCGAAAGAAATAAAGAGAATGGATAGAGAAAAGTGATAGATACCTTTGTTTTCCAATTGGGACGATGGGATTTCAAAGATAGTCTTCTGGGTCGACGCTCCTCCATTGGTTTCCGTTATCAAGCTCTGAAATTACTCGTTTTCTGATTGTTGAATCCGGTTTGAGGTTTTCTATAATAAACCAACAAATACAAAAAACAGACTAATGGGTACTCCTAGTTTGTCTTCCCGTGTGATGGTTCGAGTTCCAAGTTCCAACATGAACTGTTACTTTGTAAGAATTGTGTCGTTCTGGTTTCCCGCCAACAAAATAACGAAGGCAGTTCCATCTTTCTCTTCCCGGTTTGCCTTTATACGGTGAACTAATGATGGGTGATGAAGAAGACATCATTAATATTTAAGGGAATTTTCATCCTCGATTGATATTTGATTGAGGGTTTTCTCGTCGAGATTTGATTTGATTTTGAGGTTTACTAAAACACATAAAAAGAGTTGAAATCGCAAGCAGCAAAGAACTCGTTTGTCTATTCACTATACAAACCTGCAAATGCCAAGGCTACAGACTCATTTTCTTGTACTACTTATAATGCATCTTAATCCACTAATCTGGATCATTTCATGCGTGGGACCCACCAAGAATAAAACAATGTTCTGAACTAGTGGTGTGTAATGCACTTTATAAGCTTATGAATCGAGGTATTGTTTCCCTGGCAATGGAGGTTTTTTCCTTGCAGGTTGCAGCCCAATAGCCCATATAATGCTGTCATCGGCAGAAGCCCCTGCAAAATCATTGTTTGTTCGTTTTGCTGGAAGTTCTGGTTCTGGACTGGAGAAGAGGAAGCATGTCTAAGTCTTGCAAGGGCCTGGCGATGGAACTGGTAAAATGTCTGAGCGAAACCGATTGTGTTAAGGTCACTCATTTCTCTCTCTCTCTCTCTCTCTGTTGTTTGACTTGTTTTCCCACTCTAGTTTTATCTCTTCTCGTTATTTTTAAGGGTGTCCTTTTTACGAGTTTTATTCGTTCTGTGATTTGGATTTTTATGGAGGAATATAGATTTTCTCTTGCAATCTTGGGTTCCTTTTCTTTTTCCTCTATTTTGTTATTTTTTTTTCCACTAGTTGTTGGTCACTGAAGAACAAGCGTTTAAGCTTATCCCATTAGTTGACTGGGTTCCACAATAAACTGATTTCTATCTGAAGTAAATTGATTGTGACCTGTATCTGCTTCTATAATGAAAATGGACAATTACTTACATCCACGATTTGAGAAACCAAGTTGGTTTTAACTCTATTTTTCTCGCTTACTTTGCAATGTCAACGGACACTAGTAATGCAAAGAGTAACATATGATGCTAGAAAATACAATATGGTCTATCTTCAATCATAAAATAATTGCTGAATCTGTTTTTTTTTTTGGTTTTCTACTGTATTTTTGGGTATGTTTTGCTACTGTATTTTACCACTTGGGTTAGAAATGTGGAAATATGTCTGACATATTTTTCTGCTAAACTCATTTCCTTATTATGATCTATCTTTAAAAACGTTAGCATTGCCTACATTTGTTCAGGTTGAGAAGAGATCATATAGAGAATGTGCTGGAGAGAAGGCTCCATCCATTTCAAGTGAATGTGTGGGTCTAAGGGAGACATATTTCAATTGCAAGAGAGGCCAGGCATGTTACCTATTTAATTAACTTTTTCTCCAACCATCATCTACGTTTATGTGTTGGTCAGAAGCTTTGAGTTTCTCGACTTATAATTGTGGTTTCCACGCATGTTACAATTGCAATCATAGTTGTCAAGGTGTTGCCTAGGTGATTAGGTGCTGAATCTGCTGATGGCTGGGTGCCTTACCTGAACGCTGTGGCTTATATAAAAAAGGTTCCTGCCTAGGTGATAAGGTCCCCCCCCACCCAGCTGACAAAAAATTTAAGAAGAGAAGTATTAAAGAAGAAAAAGGATAAAGAGCATAGTTTTCAAGGCGCCAAGGCGAGGCTGGGTATTAGGGGGCGCCTTGTTGCCTAGGCGGGCACCTAGACGATGGATTTTTTTATATAGAAAACATAGATCCTAGGGTAGTTCGATAGGTACCATAGTCATATTTCCTTAATAAATATTCATACTTTTCATAAGAAAAGTATAGAGTTCATGTTAAAGTATAGAAAATGCGTTGATTAGACAAAATTTTAAATTCTTCCTTACTTATTGGTTCAGGTTTTAAAGTCTTTGAGGGTTCAATACAGCATTTAGCAATGTTTGTATTGATTACATCCTAACAAATAAGAAAATAATAAAAACAAATTAGTATATAAACACACAAAATGAATATTTAAGTTTAATAATGCCTATTTTATAATTATAATGTCAAAAAGTAAAGAATAAAAAAGTATTTTACAATACATATTACAAAACTGCTTGGCGATTAGGTGAGGCGAGCCTCAAAGGGCGCCTTGTCGCCCAGGTGTCGCTTAGGCGCCTGCCTAGGCGTTGCCTTGACAACTATGATAAAGAGGTCTTTTTTAATACTCTCTTAGGTTAAATAGATAAAAAGGGTTGCTCCTTGTTCTCTTTCCTTTTCATTACTCTCTCTTAAAATTTTTTATTAGTATGTAATTGTAATCTTCTTTAGTTGCTAATAATTTTTTTTTTAACACATGATATAGTGTTGTGTTTGAAATGCTGAAATTAAATGGTTTAAAATGCTACTGTCTTTTAGCCTCAGTTTGGGAAGAGTGCAAATACAAATATGTTCAGTGCAATACCCTGTATATGGTATTTCTAAACCTTGTATTTTGTACTGTAAAGTGTAAATATTTGTATTTTTACTCTTCCCAAAGTGAGCCTTAGATATAAGGATTTAATATGTTTCAAGAGGCAAACTAATGTTATTAGTAAGGAGATTTGTTTTTCCTTCAATTTATATTCATACTAATTGGTATGTAAAGTTAGGGAACTAATCTAAAATTTAGCTTTTGTTTTTTTGTAAGGTTTTATCACCTAGGGAACTTGGCAACTAGGCAATCCACTGTTGCCTAGAATCTCCTTGATGCCTAGACAACTGTGACTGTAATGCAAAAATGATTCAGTTGTAATTCTTGGATATGACTTCATTTATATGAAGATTAGTTTCAATGGTTCAGCAGAAGCATTGTTTGTATTGTCGTATTGATCATATTCGTTGTATGTCTATTTTATTGTTAACTTATTGAAACCAGTGTTGCATCGACTCTCCTAGGTGGTGAAGTGTCCATGTTGGACTCACACTGGATTTGAACACCTTATAGTTTTTTAATGGACACTTCAACATAAAATTTTCTTTTATCTACTTTATTATTTGACATGAATAAATAACTAATATAAACAATGAATGCCTTTTCTCTAGAAACCTTTATTAATTAACAAAGATAAAGTTCTAACAATTTTTATTGGTCTATAGTATTAAATTTTGACAAATATGGACTGTTGCAAGCTTTCCACTCTTTGATAGATATTATGCATTTTTGCTTTCCATGAAGCTAGCCTTTTCTCCACTTTCTCCACTATGGGTTCTCAAATAGTTTTAGAATTGCACTTTGTTCCCAAGGGCATGCGCAAATATTAACATGGAAGTTTTCCAACTCTACATCGATTTGCCCAATTCTCCAGTTCTTGTACTTCCCCCACTGCGAATAACTCACTTTTTTGAACATTCACATGTAAACCTGAAACTACCTCAATCCATCTTAGAGTAGTAAGTTTTTCAAGCTGCTCTCTTGCAGCATTGCAGGAAAATATGGTATTGTCAGCAAACTCTAACATTGGAACTACCCTCTCCCTACATCAAAACCTTCTATATAACCTCTTTCTAGGCTTCTACAGCCCACCAAACCATTTTGTTTAAAGCTTCCACCATGCAAATTAATAAGAAGGGAGGAAGGGGGGGTGTCTCCCTGTCTTATTCCTCTTGAGATTTTGATGCATTGATTTTATTGTATCTAATGTCTCTGTATCCAATTTCAGTTAACATGGCTACAATGTTGGAGAGGGAAATGAGGGATTTCTTGTGGATGGGATGGAAAGATGAAAACTGAATAGAGCTATCATTTAGTAATTTTGGGACAAGTGTGTTGTCAAAAGAGATTCTGGGGTGGAGGTTAATATAGACGTTTTGGAGATCTAGTGAGAAAAATGGAGTCTTATGGAGGAGAGTAATTCAAGCTAAGCTGGGGTTAAGGGAAGCTGGTTGGAAGCTGGGAGAAGTCAATCAAACCTGTGGGTGCTCTTTTGGAAGAGAATAGAAAAGAGCCATAAGGAATACAGTAATGGTGTAAGATATGAAGTGGGGAATGGGCAGTGTGTAAGTTTTTGGCAGGATTATTGGTGAGGAGAAAGACCTTTAAAGGAAATATTTCCCTCTCTTTATGAACTGGAACCTAACAGAGAGGCTCGGATGGTTGATTATTTATCAGAAATCAATGGAGTAAGGGTATGGACCCTTTAGTTTAGGTGGCAGCTCAATGTTTGGGAAATTGAACCTTTGATGGAGCTAATGCAGTTGTTTTTATAGCACTTGGACAGACATCAGCAGGGAGGATAGGAGAGTTTGGATTTGGGAGAAGTCTGGTGCTGGTCATATCTTTCTGCAGTGCAGCTTCTCATACTCAATATGGACTAAGGTTTTGAAGTTATTTGCTGTTGAAGGAAGTTTTCCTTCTTCAATTGAAGGCTTCTTGAAGGGGTGGAGACTGGAAGGTTTAAATAGAAGAGGAAAAGTTATCTGGAACACAGTACCTGCAGCAGTCTTTTGGATGGTCTGGCAAGAAAGAAACAATAGAATTTTTCAAAGGAAGAGTAGTTAAGCTGAAGTAGTGTTCTCAAGGATAGTTGGGAAGTTGTATTCATGGATTAATATACACAATCTGTTTAAAGGAAGAGATTATAAGTCTTTTTTTTATATGAAGATCTTTTTGTAAACTGTCAGGGGCCGAAGGTATAGGGATCATGGATGTATCTTATGTAAATTCTCTTTCCCTTTATACAACCTCTAGTTGTAATAGTTGTAGAGAACATTGATGTGGGCCCCACAGCTGTGGTCCCACTCTGTCCGTAGGGTAGAATGTATTTAGTCACAGCTGTGGTTATTTTGCTATTCTGTTATTTCTAGTTTCAGTTTTATATTGTTTGTTATTTGTTACCAGTTATGATGTAAACACCAAGGGCAGATATGTCCTTTCATGTAACTAGCATAACCTATATATATTAACTTAAAGTGGCGGCGGCAGAATATTGACATTTTGTTCTTCTCCTCAAAATCTGTGTTCTACTGCTCTTTCACCACTCTTTCTTCTACTTCTTCTTCACTTTCTCTTCTCATTGAACCTGAAATCTCTTAGTGGTCAAGACTGAATAGCAGTCTTGAAAACYTACATGGTATCAGAGCCAAGTTAGGGTTTTTCATGTGAGTCTAATACCAGCCGACCACATGAGAATTCCCTAGGACTGAAAGCTGAAAAGGAGGAGTTCGCTGACTGATTCTTGGAGATCGCCAGAGGTGCTAGTAGCTGTTGGAAACTTGCTAGGGTTGCAGAGTGTTGGTGGTCAGGAAGGATCAGAGAAGACTAGGGTTCAGGTAACCCTAGAAGGCAGCGAACTAATTTTTCCTTGTAAGTTGTTTACTTTTTAAGAGAAGTTCTATCARAGAAGATAGGTTGGACCTATCTGGAGGGGAAGGCCGAACCATTCTAGTTCTTTCTCTCTTCGATTCACTAGGGTTTTACAGCAAACCCTAGCCGAACTGTGTTTCTCTCTACTTTAGGGTTTGAAAGTGATCTGTGGCAAGCCCTAGTGTTTGACTGAACCCTGTGATCTACCTAGAGCTACTCTTAAGTTTATTGGTAGGTCCGATCAGATTCTAGGGTTTCTTAAAACCCTACTGCAAGCTCATCTATATAGTTTGGACTGTGCGACTGAATTGCTTCCTTTCAGGATTGATTAAAACCCTAACTTTCCCTAGCATATCAGTTTTTTTTAAAGCTGTTCTCAGAGTTCTAAGGGAGTTAGAGATCTACGAACAGCTACTGCTGTGTTGGCTAGTTGATTTTAGATCAGAATTATTTCGGTTTTGTGCACATACATTGAGAATACAGATCAGGCCTATACTGTTTTGATTGTGATTTGTGATTCAAGTGCTATTTTGAGATTTGACAGAAATGGAGTCTAAAATTCAGGCAGAAGGCAGTCTTGGGAACATYAGTTATGGTGGTATTTCTGAGATGGGTGGTCAGATTACGACCGTAAAGTTTGATGAATCAAACTATTTGGAATGGGCCCAATCAGCCATGATGGCTATTGGTGGAAGAGGTAAATTAGGGTACCTC